AATTAAAAAAAAAAAATAGAAAAAAAGCCAAGAAGGCAATATAAAAAAGTTTTTAAAGAGGACAAATAGTCCCATCTAAAACATTTAAATTAAAAATGTATAAAGTAATGGAACAAGATATCACCACTTTGGCAGACTATTTCCGGTTGTTAACGTCGACGTCAGCCTTTGAAAAGGTGAAACACGTCGCGGCATGGAAGGTACTGGTAGAAAATGCATATTACCAGTTACGACGGTACTTGAGGGTACACCAAAAATATCTTCCAACCCATATGAAGACATTACCCTGTGGTGTGGATATGTGTATGTTATCGGCAATGAAGCTTTTAGCAACCCAGAGTTGCAATCACACAGACTTGGACATAGATGAAGAAATAGAAGATTCGATGAAACCTCCATTATGATGGATACTCTCGCTGAAATGTTTAACTTGGGAAGAGCGAGTGGAAGAAAACAGACAACTTAACTATGTCGAAACAAAGGATGATTACGACAGAGAATTAGAAGATGGTTTACACGAACAAATGCAAGCCTATGAAAATAATTTACAATCTCTGCAGGGACAAGAAATCGAATTGCGTTCTCAACTAACAACCGAAGTGGAAAAAAGTGAAATGATATTGAGAAATGCGAAGGCACACGAAAAATATATGCTCGCCAAATATGAAGAAAACCTGAGGGCCTAAGATGAACAATTCGAAGAAAAACATCGTGTTCAGAAAGATCAATTGCGACATCTGAAAACGAAGTTAGAGAAAGTCAATGAAAAATTGGCTAACTCGGAAAGAGCGCGGCAAGTCTTGGAAGCTGAGAGAGAAGACCTGTCCAAACAACTGGCAAATGTAAAAGAGGAACATAGACCTGTGAAAATCAAACCAATTCGATGCTTGGATCAATTATTAAATAAATTCCCGCCGGTAAGTCCTCATTTTGAGGAACGGGAAGAAGAAGAACATTCTGGTGTCGTGTCAGCGCTGACATATAGAAAACCATTTCGGCAGGAACCTCTCAATTTATTAAAAACCAATCGGTGCAATGGCAAAGACGACGACCGTTTTGTAAGAAAAGTAATAAATAGTCTTATTGCAGAAGAGGAAAAAGAAGAAAAGCCGCCACGCACAGAAGCTCCAAAATTGTCGACGAATGTGGTAAATTAGCAGGAAAAGAATGCATCGATGAAGTAGAAAAAGCCAAAGAAATGTCTCTGGTTCCGGATGTATATTACTAAAGGGTGACAACAAAGTCACAAAGTAAAAACATAAAATTTTGAAAAGTGGACACCAAAAGTCCCAACTAAAAAAGAAACAGATTTTAAAATAATAAAGTGAAAACAATATCGGGCGTTCCAAGAGGCTATGCTGAAGCAACAGGAGCAAATTCTGAAATTAATGGAGGAAAAAAAAGGAAGCAGATGTTCCTATTGCAACAGCCCAGCAAAAATAAAAATTAAGACACGGAACAAGAGGAAAGGCATATCGTCAAAGCTGAAAGAGATGACCTGTCTAAACAACTGGCAAATTTAAGAATGGGATATAATGCTGTTGAACTAAAGCAGATTCCAGGCTTGGAAGGAACTTCTGTGATTTTTTTTACCCGCCAGCAAGTCCTCAATTTGAGGAAGGAGATGAGGGAGGACATTCCGAGGTCTAATCCGCCCTCAGAAATGCAGCACTCGGAAAGGAAATAAATAATCTCATTGCGGAAGAGGAAACAGAAGGAAAGCCGCTACGTACAGAAGGTCGCATTATTTCCAACGAAAAGGGAAAAGAATGCATCGAAGAAGTGGAAAAAGCCGGAGAAATTTCTCTGGTTATGAAAGAGTTTTATTAGGGAAAAATCAATAGCAAACCAACAATAGCCGTGAGAATTGAAGACGATGAATCTGAGCTTACCATACAGCCATTGACTATGACAGTCTGCAACGATTGACTAACTAACTAACGCATACGATAATGTATGAGATAATAAATGTTATGACTCACACGTACAGATATGGATGCGCTCAGTAGATCTACAAGACCACTTGAATGAAATGACAAGCAGCCCTGCAATGTTCTCCATTCAATATTAGAATAGATAAGAATAATTGTGTGGCTGCGATTAGGTTAAGTTAGATTAGTTTTGGTAGTACTTAAGGAATATATTTTCAAATAAATAAATGTACGCCCAAACGAAGCGGTTGTATTCTTTTCTCATTATTTTACATTGCTCCTGTCGAGCCGAATGGGGAATATAATTGACAATCGAAGAGGGAGATTGGATTCCATTCTCATTTACAGATAGGTTATACAGAATTCTTGATATCATTTAGATTTTTAGTACTCTCAATTGGTATTTATGACTTATGTTTCTATTATTATATATAGAAGATTAGTGATTAGCTTACCACATACAGAATACATTTAGATTCTTAAAGGTGTTTCACAAACTCGCTTAGATTTTTCTAAGCAACATTTGCATTCAGAAATATTTAAGGATGAGATCTTTCCAAAATCCACAATAGTGTTGACCATTTCCTTTGGGGAATATTTTCAATTATGTTTTCTTTTGTTTGTTAGGAATTCTCGAAAAGTGGGCCTCAAAAATTCCAGGGTGAAGTGTGGTTGAGAGAACCTAACGAGTCCTTGGGCGGTGAAGCATGACAAATAATAAATTAATTAGGAAGCATGATGAAGAAGAAGGTCCATCTTCGTATCCAGACCTTCTCATATTTGCGTCAGCTTTCCATAATGTCGATGCCTTGCAGAAATCTTTTCGAATTTTATTTTGCTAAAGATTATATCAAATTTTCGTTCGCATCTTCAATATTTCGACTGATTATTATATATTTCAGGATACGCATTTGACACAGGACTTTCGTGGTTGGTAGCCATACCTTAAATTGAGTAAAAAAAAAATAATATTGAGTCGGTTTACATAAGAGATATTAAAAAATGCTTACTTGATCAGCAATCTTCATTGTCATACCAAGAAGGCCTCTGATCTGATGTGTTTGGGATACTTTTGTTGGCAGTCCTCGAAGACATTTTCAATGCCTAAAATTAAGTGTTGAGAGAGGGAGTTTAACGGGTCCTTGGATCGTTAAGCATGGATGACCAATAAAAAATTTATAGCATGATGAAGAGGGTTCATCATCGCTTCAAGACCTCGTCATAATTCTGACATCACTACATAATACCGATCACCTGCTGAATTTTTTTTTTTCGAATTCCATCATCGTATCAAGACCTCCGCCTTGCTGAAGTCTTTTCGAATTTAATTTTGGCAAAGATGATATGAATGTTCCGATACCTTTTACAATATATCAGCTGGTAGGGGATTTTATGTATTTCAAGATACGTATTTCACATCGGACTTTCTTGGTTGGTAGCCTCAAACGTGCCTTAAATAGATTAAAAACAAAAAAAATAAATATTGAGTCGGTGCACTTAGGAGATATTGAAAATTACTTACATAATCTGGAAGAGGCCAAGAAGGCATTTGACTGTATATTTAATTCAAGTTCCGGATGATTTTGTTGGCAGTCCTCGAAGACATTTTTAATGCCTAAAATTAAGTGTTGTGACATTGAGAGAGAGCTTAACGGGTCCTTGGATGGTAAAACATGGGAGACAAATAATGAATTTATATCGGAGCATCGTATCAAGACCTCCTCATAACTGCGACTGATATAGTTGTATCGCTGAAATCTTTTCGAATTTCATTTTGCTAAAGATTATATAAAATTTCCGCTCACATATTCAATATGGCTGGTGGGCTTTATATATTTCAAGATACGTATTTGACATCGGGCTTTCTTGGTTGGTAGCCTCAAACATACCTTAAATAGAGTTAAAAAAATAATATTGAGTCGGTGAACTTTGGAGATATTGAAAATTACTTACATAATCTGGAAGAGGTCAAGAAGGCCTCTGACTGTAAATTTTATTCGAGTTCCGGATGATTTTGTTGGCAGTTCTCGAAGACATTTTTAAAGCCTAAAATTAAGTGTTGTGTCATTGAGAGGGAGCTTAACGGGTCATTGGATGGTAAAACATGGAAGGCAAATAATGAATTTATACCGGAGCATCGTATCAAGACCTCCTCATAATTGCGACAGCTCTTCACAATATCGTTGTATTGCTGAAATCTTTTTGAATATCATTTTGCTAAAGATTATATAAAATTTCCGCTCATATCTTCAATGTGGCTGGAGGGCTTAATCCATTTGAAGATACGGACTTTCTTGGTTGGTAGCCTCACACATGCCTTAAATAGAGTTAAAAAAATAATATTGAGTCGATGAAAATAAGAGATATTAAAAATTACTTACGTGATCTGGAATCTTCATTGCCATACCAAGAAGGCCCCTGACTGTAGATTCAATTCGAGCTCGGGATGAAAATTTTGTTGGCAGTCCTCGAAGACATTTTCAATGCCTAAAATTAAATCTTGTGTCATTGAGAGAGGTAGGGAGAGAGCTTAACGGGTCCTTGGATGGCGTAGCATGGGTTACCAATAATAAATTTATACTGAAACATGACGAAGAAGAGCCATCATCGTAACAAAATCTCCTCATATTTCCGACACCGCTTCATAATACCGATGCCCTGAGGAAATCTTTTCGAATTTCATTTTGCCATAACGATCAGGCCACTGACTATAGATCCAATTCGAGTTCGGGATGATTGCTTAACGGGTCCTTGGTTGGCGAAACATGGGAGACCAATAATACATTTATACCGAGGTATATCGATGAATATTCGTTATCGTATTAAGACCTCCTCATAATTCCGACAGCTCTTCGTAATGCCAATGCTTTGCTGCAATCTTTTCGAATTTCATTTTGCCAAAGATGACATACAATTTCCGCTTCCATCTTCAAAAAATTTTCGTACGTTGTTTTTATGTATTTCATCGGATTTTCTTGGTGGATATCCTCAAACACACCTTAAATAGAGTTAAAAAAAATAATATTGAGTCAATAAAAATAAGAGATATTAAAAATTACTTACGTGATCTGGAATCTTCATTGACATACCAAGAAGGCCTCTGACTGTTGATTTAATTCGAGCTCAGGATGAAAATTTTGTTGGCAGTCCTCGAAGACATTTTTAATGCCTAAAATGAAGTGTTGTGACATTGAGAGAGATAGAGAGGGAGCTTAACGGGTCCTTGGATGGCGAAACATGGGTGACCAATAATAAATTTATACTGAAACATGACGAAGAAGAGCCATCACCGTAACAAAATCTCCTCATATTTCCGACATCACTTCATAATACCGATGCCCTGATGAAATCTTTTCGAATTTCATTTTGCCATAACGAGAAGGCCTCTGACTATCGATCCAATTCGAGTTCGGGATGATTGCTTAACGGGTCCTTGGTTGGCGAAACATTGGAGACCAATAATAAATTTATACCGAGGCATATCGATGAATATTCGTCATCGTATCAAGACCTCCTCATAATTCCGACAGCTCTTCGTAATGCCAATGTTTTGCTGCAATCTTTTCGAATTTCATTTTGCCAAAGATGACATACAATTTCCGCTTCCATCTTCAATATTTTGGCTGGTAGGTTGTTTTTATGAATTTCATCGGATTTTCTTGTTGGATAGCCTTAAACATACCTTAAATAGAGTTAAAAAAAATAATATTGAGTTGGTGAACTTAGGAGATATTGAAAAATACTTACCTGATCTGGAATCTATATGGTTATACCAGGAAGTCCTCTGACTGTAGATCCAATTTGAGTTGTTGGCAGTCCTCGTAGACATTTTTAATGCCTAAAATGTAGTGTTGTGACACTGAGAGAGAGCTTAACGCATCCTTGGATGGCGAAGCATGGGAGACCAATAATAAATTTATTCCGAAGCATAATGATGAAGATCCATCATCGTGGTACCACCTTCTTATAATTCCGACAGCTCTTCATAATGCAATTTTGTTAAAGATGATAAAAAATCCCATCCCGCTCCCATCTTCAATATTTCGGTTGGTAGCGTTTTGTATGTATTTCAAGATGCGCAGTTAAAATCGGACTTTTTTGGTAATTAGCCTCAGCCATGCCTTAAATAGAGTTAAAAAAAAAATAATATTGAAATCGGTGAACATAAGAATGTAAGATAGGATGAACATTTCTACGTTTCAGTTCCGTATAGGAATATACACTCCCAAAAGCATAATAACAATAAACACAAACATAACATGCATAATCTGAAAGCAACGCTATTGGGGATCCAATAGCGAATATGAAGTTCGAAATATTGTCCTTGGGCTAAATCTATAATCAATTTTTTATATCCCTTCTTTTGGGAGTAAAATCTTAGGATCAATTGAAATTTTCACTGCAAATGGTAAAGTTCGGAATAAATATATGGCAAATTGAGTAAATTAATAATTCTACATTTTTCGACTTACAGGATGATATAATATCCTTTGAATATACATTCAATATTTTTTTTTGAAAAATATTTATAAATGCACTCTCCATTGAGCTATTTTCACTTTTTGTAATTAACATTTTTTAAATTTCGAAAATTTTCATTCAGATCGATGATGTTTCTTTTCCAAATCTCTGTATATTTTTACCCATTCACTCTGCCAATTTAAAAAACAATTTTCTTGAGCACCGTATCCTTTGAATGCAAATCAGCAACTAAACTCGATCCAAAAAATTTCTCCATGATTTGAAAATCTGATTAGCACCCTCTAAAGTAGGTAGATAGATAAGACCTCATATACTTGTGACCTCATATGATAAACTACCTGCTTGCGGCCCGATATGGTCCCTATGTGAATTGGGTTATTTGTTGGCCATTAAAAAAAAAAATCCACTCAATTATCCATAAAATCTTATCTTGGGTTTTCCAAAAAAGCAAATACTTAAATTTTCATGTGTGAACAATAAGAAATATGAGAGGTCGGTGGGTGATTACCACAAGAGCGATAACATATGTTGATGATATGTAAATATTTGACATGAAAACGGATGTGAGTAATTTTACGAATAGAGAAAAAAACAGGGCTGTTCAAGAACAAGAGCTCTCTTGGTAGTCTAATTTCTTTCTCTTAAATCATCAACAAATAATAAATTTTCCTTTAAAAAATAGTTTTGGACAACATTCATGTTAAATATATTTTTTCAAGGACCTATAGGACGTAGGTTTTTTAAAAATATTGTTTTTCAAGGACCAATAGGACGTGGATTTTTTTAAAAATATTTTTTTCAAGGACCAATAGGACGTGGATTTTTTTAAAATATTTTTTTCAAGGACCAATAGGACGTGGATTTTTTAAAAATATTTTTTTTAAGGACCAATATGACGTGGATTTTTTAAAAACATTTTTTCCATGACAAATAGGACGTGGATTTTTTAAAAATATTTTTTTCAAGGACCAACAGGACGTGGATTTTTTAAAAATACTTTTTTTTCAAGGACCAATAGGACGTGGATTTTTTTTTAATATTTTTTTCAAGGACCAATAGGACGTAGGTTTTTTAAAAATATTTTTTTCAAGGACCAATAGGACGTGGATTTTTTAAAAATATTTTTTTCGAGGATCAATAGGACGTGTTTTTTTAAATATTTTTTCAAGGACCAATAGGACGTGGATTTTTTAAAAAATATTTTTTTCAATTACCAATAGGACGTGGATTTTTTAAAAAACATGTTTTTTCAAGAACCAATAGGACGTGGATTTTTTAAAAATATTTTTTTTCAAGAACCAATAGGACGTGGATTTTTTAAAAATATTTTTTCAAAGACCAATAGGACGTGGATTTTTTTAAAAATATTTTTTCAAAGACCAATAGGACGTGGATTTTTTTAAAAATATTTTTTCAAAGACCAATAGGACGTGGATTTTTTTAATTTTTTTTCAAGGACCAATAGGACGTAGGTTTTTTAAAAATATTTTTTTTAAGGACCAATAGGACGTGGATTTTTTAAAAATATTTTTTTCAAGACCAATGGGACATGGATTTTTTAAAAATATTTTTTTTCAAGACCAATGGGACATGGATTTTTTAAAAATATTTTTTTCAAGGACCAATAGGACTTGGATTTTTTAAAAACATTTTTCTCAAGGACCAATAGGACGTAAATTTTTTAAAAACATTTTTTTCAAGTACCAATAGGACGTGGATTTTTTAAAAATATTTTTTTCAAGACCAATGGGACGTGGATTTTTTAAAAATATTTTTTTTGAGGACCAATAGGACGTGGATTTTTTTAAAAATATTTTTTTTCAAGACCAATGGGACGTGGATTTTTTAAAAATATTTTTTTCGAGGACCAATAGGACGTGGATTTTTTTAAAAATATTTTTTTCGTGGACCAATAGGACGTGGATTTTTTTAAAAATATTTTTTCCAAGGACCAATAGGACGTAGATTTTTTAAAAATATTTTTTTCAAGACCAATGGGACATGGATTTTTTAAAAATATTTTTTTTCAAGACCAATGGGACATGGATTTTTTAAAAATATTTTTTTCAAGGACCAATAGGACTTGGATTTTTTAAAAACATTTTTCTCAAGGACCAATAGGACGTAAATTTTTTAAAAACATTTTTTTCAAGTACCAATAGGACGTGGATTTTTTAAAAATATTTTTTTCAAGACCAATGGGACGTGGATTTTTTAAAAATATTTTTTTTGAGGACCAATAGGACGTAGGACGACTTTTTCAAGTACCAATAGGACGTGGATTTTTTAAAAATATTTTTTTCAAGGACCAATAGGACGTGGATTTTTTAAAAACATTTTTTTTCAAGGACCAATAGGACGTTGATTTTTTAAAAACATTTTTTTCAAGGACCAATAGGACGTAGGACGACTTTTTCAAGTACCAATAGGACGTGGATTTTTTAAAAACATTTTTTTCAAGGACCAATAGGACGTGGTTTTTTTAAAAATATTTTTTTCAAGAACCAATAATACGTGGATTTTTTAAAAATATTTTTTTCAAGGACCAATAATACGTGGATTTTTTAAAAATATTTTTTTCAAAGACCAATAGGACGTGGATTTTTTAAAATATTTTTTTTCAAGGACCAATAGGGCGTGGAATTTTTAAAAATATTTTTTTCAAGGACCAATAGGATGTGGATTTTTTAAAAATATTTTTTTCAAGGACCAATAGGACGTGGACTAAAAAAAAAACATTTTTTTAAAGGACCAATAATACGTGGATTTTTTAAAAATATTTTTTTCAAGGACCAATAATACGTGGATTTTTTAAAAATATTTTTTTCAAGGACCAATAATACGTGGATTTTTTAAAAATATTTATTTCAAGGACCAATAGGACGTGGATTTTTTAAAAATATTTTTTTCAAGGACCAATAGGACGTGCAGTTTTTAAAAACATTTTTTTCAAGGACCAATAGGACGTGGAATTTTTAAAAACATTTTCCTGAAAAAAAAAATCCTTTGAGAAGTTTCAAAGGCAGGTCTAATTTTTAGTTTTAATAATTTTTAAATTAAAAATAAAAAAACTCAACATAATTCTAGTTGGTTATTTTTAAACTCAATCCCACAGCCAAACATTTTTGTTGGTTTAATAGAAATGTCAAGGCTTCTTTGAATCATGCCGTTATCAGACCAGACGCAAGCAAGTCTTCAAGGTTTTTGTATCTCAGATTAACATGTCTTTTATTTATTAACGGCGTCTTGAAACGGGTTTCACGGCACATAGCGAGCATCGCTTATAGGCGGCAAGCCTCACGAACCAACCGAAGAAAGGAACGTGTCTGCAATGCAAATATTTGTTGTTCCAAGAAATAGCGACCAAAAAAATTATGGTGAAATAATTATTTTGCACTGAATCATCGATAAATATTTCGTTGACAATTTTTGTTTTCAGTCGAAAGATGTTCTAGAAATTTTGAATTTTGGAATAATTAAATAAAAGTGAAATTATTGGAATTAATTGAGGCGATGATGCTATCCAAAAAAATATTTTGAATAAATTAAAAAATATTTTAACTTTTTTCAAATACTGGGGGAAATTGCGGATTTTGTAAAAATTATTTTTATTTGATTTTCAGGACGTGAATTTTAAATTTCAAATTCTGAGTTTTATTATTAATAATAATTAATAATTTTTACAAATTGTGAATTAAGAAGTTGTTTTCAAATCTTTACATTAAAAAATATTTTTTTAATTATTTTTTTAATTTCATTCTTGAAAAAAAAAAAACATAGAATTCCAAAACGCCCATTTAAGGATAACAAATTTATGGGAAATCATAAATTCCATATCAATCTCAGGTTTCTGGTTGAGAGAAATATTTAGATATAGGAAGTTGTAAAGAGTCACTGACTTGTTTCGCAAGTTATGGCAGATAAAAATATTGAAAATTGTGATTTTTTGTGGGTGAGGTACCAGAAGGGGTTCGCAGATATACATCATCTTCACAACAGATTTTGCGTTAGCAAAAATGTTTGGATCAGTGAAATTTGAAGAGAGTTGGATGCTTACTTCGAGCTTTTTTGGATTTCGAAAATTGGAACCCCATATAGGGGGAGGTATCAGAAGGAATACTCCGATCTCTATCATCTGTATAACAGATCTTGTGTTGATGGAAATATTGGGATGTTCCAAGTCTGTGTGGAATCGGATGTTAATTTCGCGCTTTATGAGCATCATGGATATTCAAAATTTTGACCCTTTGTGGGGGAGGTACCGGAAGGAGTGCGTCGATATATTCCATCTTCGCAGCAGATATTGTGTTAGCAGAAATAATGGGATGCATGAAATATAAAGAGAATCGGATGCTTATTTCGGATTTTATAAACGTTCTGGTTATTCAAAACTTTGACCCCTTGTGGGGGAGGTACCAGAAGGAATACTCCGATCTCTAACATCTTTATAACATATCTGTTGATGATGGAAATATTGAGATGTACCACGTCTGAATGGAATCGGATGTTAATTTCGCGTTTTATGAGTTTCATGAATATTCAAAATTTTCACCCTTTGTGGGGTAGGTACCAGAAGGAGTGGATCGACATATTCTACCTTTGCAACAGATATTGTGTTAGCAGACATAAGGGGATGTGTGAAATATAAAGAGAATCGGATGCTTATTTCCGATTTTATGATCGTTTTAGTTATTCAAAACTTTGACCCTTTGTGGGGGAGGTACCAGAAGGAATGGTCCGGTCTCTACCATCTTTATAGCAGTTCTTGTATTCATGGAAATATTGAGATGTACCGAGTCTGAATGGAATCGGATGTTAATTTCGCATTTTATGAGCATCAAGATTTTGGCCCGTTGTTGGGGGAGGTACCAGAAGGAGTGGACCGATATATTCCATCTTCACACCAGACCTTGGGTTAATGGAAATATTGTGATGTATGTAATTTGAAGACAATCGGACACTTACATTACATTTTATAAGAGTTATAATAATTGGAAATTTTAAACCTTTGTGGGGCAGGTACTTGATGAAGTGGACCGATATTGTCCATTTTTGCACCTGACCTAGCACTGATGAACAAATTGAGATTTGCAAAATTGGAGCAAAATCGGATTATCCTTTCTCTTTCTGTGCAGAAAAGTATTTTTTTGAAAATATTAAAATTTTGTGGGGGACGTACCAGAAAGAGAGGTCCGATATTGCCCATCTCCGAACTCGATATAAGTTTGACAAAAATATTACGATGTACCAAGTTTGGACCAAATCGGATACTCCCTTCGAGAGTTATCGTGCGCACCGGCCAGCCAGACATACGGACCGACATCGCTAGATCGACTCCAAATGTCCTGTAACGGATTTGGACCAAAGAGACCTAGGGTTTGAAGCCGTTATTTCGATGAGGCACGTTTTGTCCATATCAAATGATATATACCCTCTCTAGCCATATGTTTGAGGGTATAAAAAAATATACTTCAAACAACACTTTATACCCTCCACCATTCTATGGAGGGTATATTAGCTTTGTCATTCCATTTGTAACTCCTCGAAATATTCATGATGGACGCTGCAAAATATAAATATATATATTCTGGATAAGTGTAAAATTCTAAGACGATTTAACGATGTCCGTGTCAGGTCAGATATAACCTGACCTCCCGATATTCGTTATTTTGATGATTTTAGTGACTTTATTCTCCGGAATTGATTTCAAACTTCGTATTCCGAGTTCGTAACGTATACTACAGCCTATGCCTAAAAATTTCGTATGCAGGTCCATGTCTTCGTATAACCTCCATATAACAGTACCTCCCGATATTCGGTATTTTGATGATTTTAGCGACATCATTCACCGGAATTGTTTCAAATTTCATATTCGAAGTTTGTAATGGGTACTACAGCATATGCCTAAAAATGTCGTATGCATGTCTTCGTATAACCTCCATATAAAGGTACCTCACGATATTCGGTATTTTGATGATTTTAGCGACATCATGCACCCGAATTGTTCCAAATTTCGTATTCAAAGTTCGTAACAGATACTACAGTCTATGCCTAAAAATTTTGTATGAAGGTCCATGTCTTCGTATAACCTCCATATAACAGTACCTCCCGATATTCGGCATTTTTGATGATTTTAGCGACATTATTCACCGAAATTGTTTTAAATTCCGTATTCACAGTTCGTAACAAATAGTACAGCTCATGACAAAAAAATTCGTATCCAAGTCCATGTCTTCGTATAACCTCTTTGTAAAAGTACCTCCGGATATTCGGTATTTTGATGATTTTAACGAAATCATTCACCCGAATTGTTTCAAATTTCGTATGTAAAATTTGTAATGGGTAATACAGCCTATGCCTAAAAATTTCGTATGCAGGTCCATGTCTTCGTATAGCCCCCATAGAACGGTACCTCCCGATATTCGGTATTTTGATGATTTTAGCGACATCATTCACCGGAATTGTTTCAAATTTCGCGGCAGAAGTTTGTAACTGGTATTACAAGCTATGCCTGAAAATTTCGTGCGCAGGTCCATGTCTTCGTATAGCCCCCATAAATGGTACCTCCCGATATTTGGTATTTTGATGATTTTTGCGACATTATTCTTCGGATTTGTTTCAAATTTCGTATTCAAAGTTCGAAACGGATAGTACAGCCCATGACAAAAAATTTCGTGTGCAGGTCCATGTCTTCGTATAGCCCCCATATAAAGGTACCTCACGATATTTGGTATTTTGATGATTTTATCGACATCATGCGCCCGAATTGTTTCAAATTTCGCGTCCGAAGTTTGTTGCTGGTACTACAGTCTATGCCTAAAAATTTCGTATGTAGGCCACGTCTTCGTATAGCCCATATATAAAGGTCATCATTTAAGCGGTATATTTCGGAATTTGTTGAAATTCAAGTTCCCTCCAAATGGTGGAGGGCATTAAAAATTCGGCCCGGCGGAACTTAGCTGCTTTTTGTAGCTGAAAAGAAAAATCTCCAAATTAAATTATCTCCCCTGTGTAGATCACAAGAATTTTTATTTCCCAGAATTTTTAAAAATTTATTACCTGTCAGCAAAAAATTCCGGAATTCAATTTATTTAATACAAATGTCAACCTTCAGATTTTGTTAGAAACGAACTTCAAATTTGATAGTTTAACGCCTAAGAAAAATTGAATCCAAAAAAACAATAAATTATTAGCATCAATCATTAGCATAAATGCCAGTCAATGAGTGACACGGCTTTGGCTGATAAAACAAAAAAAAATAATTTTTATAAAAAAAAAAAAAAAAATATTTCCAGTTCGATAGTTTGAAACTGGAAGTGTGCTAGCTGTTCTACCCATCTCATAAATATTTTTTGGGTGCGAATTTTTTTTTTTGAAAAAATCGTGTTCATAATTTTTTATTTATTTAGTTGTAGTTGTTGTTGTTATATACACCAGCTTCTTAGGCACATGCGATTCACGTTGATCTTCTTCACCGAAAAAAATGTTGTTTAAGTTTAGATGAGCTTTTTTTTTTGCTGCCGTCTCCGTCCGTTTGCTGCTCATTTTAAGTCGCCCAACAATCCCACTTATAGCAGCCTTTGATTTTTCAACATCAGTCTATAGCCGAAGCTTGTATCGTTCAGTTCGCATTTGGAAAAGTTTAACTTTTCGCATAAAGGATTTTTGATTTTTATTCAAAAATCAAAGTTATTTATAAATAACTTTAAATTAAAAAAGAAAAAGAAAAAAAAACAAACTCGGAAAAAATGGCCAAAATTATTTTAAGTGCTGTTGTGTGTTTAGCCATGTTTGGCTCAATGGGTTAGTATTTATTTATTTATGAATTTTGCAACGAAAAAAAAGAAAATAAAAAACAAGATAAACTACAAATAAATTGCAAAAGTTTAAACAAAAAATATATGCAAACAACATTTAAATGTCAACTGGATTTGTGTTAATTGCAAAATAAAACAAAAGACTTAAGACACGAACACCTTATTTTACAAAATTTGTTCAATTCAACGTTGGACTTTGTTGGTTAAAAAGTGTTCAAAAATATGTTTTAATATTTTTTGAATCAGCGTTTATATTTGAAAATTAAGAAACAAATAATAGGAAAAAGACGATAATAAAAAAGTCCTTAAAGGACATGCACTTATTGTTCAATTGTATAAAAATTATTATGCACTTCCAATATTACTTGTCTTTAATGGTGGTGTTTAAAATACAGACATAAGCTTAAAAATCAAAATTTTAAAAAAATGTGGAATGAGAACAGCATGGCATCATACGCCTGATATCAGAGGATTTACGCAACATGACTGATATTTCGCTCCACGGTCATATACTTTTTTCCACAAAAAAAAAAAAAAAGCAATCGAAATGAAAACTTGTTGGAAACTTTTTCGTCAAAGAAAATATTTTGTTTTTATTTTTTAAATTTATTTTCCGCCTCGAAAAAAAATATTCATTCAATATAACTGTGAAATCATTTTTCCGAATTGTTGAAAAAAGTTTTTCCAAACTTCTCAGGAATCTACATTGATATACCAGGACTAATTTTAAAAGCTGAAACAATTCTAGAAGAATTCTGAAAGACTCTATAAACATTCACTAAAAAGAGGACTTTAGATAAAATTTTTAAACAAAGCTTAAAGCTATCTTAGATAAATAGCTGGATATAAACTTTTGGAAAATCCGCCATCACAGCTTTCAAGGACTTCAAAATACTGTTTTGCCGCTTTAAGACATCCATAAGAATTATGCACGTTTAGGGCTACAAAAAATTATTTGAAAAATCCACGTCAAGGACTTCAACAATTGTTTGAAAAGCCCACGTCAAGGACTTCAAAAATTGTTTAAAAAATCCACATTTAGGAATTCAAAAATAGTTTGAAAAGCCCACGTTTAGGGGTCTGAAAAAATCTTAACAAAATCCACGTTAAGGGCTCTAAATTTTTTTTAAACCCATGATTAGTGCTTTAAAAATACTTTAACAAAGATTAAATAAATTCTTTATTTTTTTTTTTAATCTATAGAAAAGAAATTTAAAGCATTGAATTTTTTTTTCATATCCTTCGTCTAGAGCTTTGAAAAAAAATCTATTTTAAAACATGTTTAGGGCTTTTAAAAATCTTCAAATAAATCCTAAAACAATCTCTAAAAAATCCACATTGAGAGATTCAAAATTACTTAAAAACCCACTTTGAGGGCTTATTTTTTTTTAAAGTCTTTAAATGATATTTAAATATGTCTTTAAAAAATCATCAACAAATTTGCGTTTAGGCGTTTAAAAGATTCTATAAAAATCCACGTTTGGGGTTCGAAAAGATTATTAAAAATGCAGAAATCTTTAAATCATTTTTTTTATCAAAGATTCTTTAATTTATAGATTAAATGTCACATTCAGGACCTTTTTAAAAATTCCATTCCTGGGCTTCAAAAACATTGTTAAAAAAATCTTGAAAAATTCGTTAAATAATTTTCGAAAAATTCTTAAAAAATCCACAATCAGGACTTCAAGTAATTCCTTAAAAAATCCATGCAAAGAGCTTCATAAAGATCTTTAAAAAATATTGCTAAAAAATTTTCAAAAATCTTCGAAAAGCTTTTTAAAAAATTCACATTAAGGATTTCAAAACGTTCTTTATAAAAAAACTATAAAAAGAGGTTCGAAAATACCATTAAATATTAAAAAAAATTTAATCAATATTAGAGCTTCAAGAATTTCTTATAAAAATTCACGTTTAGGGCCTTAAGAAGTCCTTAATAATTAAAGCTTAGGATTTCAAAAAAAAAAAAAAAAAAAAAAAAAAAACCTAAAAAAACCTTCAAAAAAATTATAAAAAATACATTAAAATTATCCTCAATTAGCACATCAACGAATTATTTAAAAAAAATCCTGCTTCATTTTTTTTAATCCATGATAAGAGCTTCAAGAACTTCTTAAAAGTGCACGTTTAGGCTTTGAGAAATTCTTTTAAAAATCTTCAAAAAATTCTTTTAAAAAATTCACATTCAAGGCTTCGAAAAAGTCTTTAAAAATAAATTTTTGGGGCCTTAAAAAATCTTAAAAACCCTTTCTTGCAAAGGCTCTAAAAAAATTTTTAAACATCACTAAAAAGTTTCCAGATTAAGGGCTTTAAAAATCTTCAACGATTTTTTTTAAAAAATTTACAATAACTTTTTTTAAATCTTCAAAAAATATTTAAAAATTCTTAATTTTTTTTTTTAAATCATAAAAATGTTCTTAAAAATCTAAATTCTAATTCTAAATTCTAAAAATTCTTTAAAACTCGCCGTCCAGGCCATATAGAAACAGTTTAAAAACTATATGTGTGTTTTCTAAAAGTATTTCAAGGTCCACTCACAAACCTGATTTTTTTTAAATATTTATAAGGACTATCGGAAAATGTAGATATTTTAAAAATATTTTTTAAAACCCTCCTATAAACGTGGATTTTTTAAACAAATGTTTTTATATATGTATGTACCCGGACTATTTAAAAAATATTTTTTAGGGACCACCTATAAACGTGAATATTTTTAAAATATTTTTTTAAAGGTGAATATATAATTTATAAAAAAAATGAAGAACCTTACCGATGGTATATTTAAAAATGGATAATTTAAAATTTTTTTTTCAAAATTACCTATTTCCGAGGAATAAAATATTATTTTAAAGTATAAAATATTATTTAATGTATATTTTTTTAACTTGTTTAAGAATTACCGATAAATGTGGATTTTTTTAAAAATATTTTTTTAAATATTTAGATTTTTTAAAATTATTTTTTTAGAACCACCGGTAAATATTCGCATTTTTAAAATATTTTTTAAAGACCAGCTTTGGGATCAGATTTTTTTTAATACAATTTCAAGAACCAATGGATTTTTAAAAAATATTTTTAAGGCTCATTTATAAATAATAAATGTGGATTGTAATAAATGTGGATTTTTTAAAAATATTAAATATTTTTTTTTAGAAAATTGGATACAGATTTTTAATATTTAAAAAATTAAAACAAAAATTTTTACATTTACATACGTCTGGCATTAATTAAAAAACCAGTTTGCAAATCTACGTCAATGGTCTGGTTTTCGTTTCTATATCAAGTAGATCATAGGGCGGATATATTTCACTTCTAATTCTGTAAATATAACTCATCATCATATTTGCATTAAAAAAAAATCAGGTTTTATAATTAATTTAAAAATCTTAACGAAAATCTTAAATTTTATGGTTAATGCTGTCATGGTTAGTTTCGTTGAAATGGAATATTTTATGATCATCAGACCATCAGGCATGTTGTCAGGCGTGACATTTAAAGATGATTTCTAGAAATCAGAGATGTTGGGGGTTTTTTTTGCCAAAAAAAAAAAAATAAATAAAAACCGGCTTAAAACATATCGGAAATACACAGAATTCTCCCTGGGCAACAAAATTCAATAGCCACCAACTAAGCAAAAAGGTCTCCGTATGTAGATGATTCCTAAAAAACGAAACAAAACAAAACAAGAAATCCACACCTCAAACCTGCTCATCCACAATGTGTCAATAAATTATGCAATAAACAAAAGAAGAATAAACAATAACAGCCGCAACAACAACAACAATACCAAAAACAATGTCAATTTAACATTTAAACTAAAAAAAAATACGATTTATGCCAACACATCCACACAAGGCACACAGACACCGACGATGATGATGATACGTTGTGACCTTGAATTTTAAATGCGAAATCAATGTGAAGACAACACACAATAACAACAGCATCCATGATAACTACAACAATAATAACAATAGTCAGCTAAAAAAGTTTATTTCAATATTTATTGTCAATTTGGTAGACTTTATTGGAAATTGATGCCAGCTAATCCAAAAGAAAAAAATCTAATCAGGTTTGTTGCTTAAGTCTTTCGTTTTCACAATTAGAACAAAATGATGGTGGAAATTAAAAAAAAAATAATTAAATTTTCCGCAAAATTTCAGAATTTTAAGGAAATGTCGTAAAAATTAAAAAAAAAAAATTAAAATTTAAAAACAAATTGTAAAATTTCAGATTTTTAAGAAATGTCGTTAAAATTAAAAACAGATAATTCGACAATTTAAAAAAAATCAAAAAAACAATTTTTTAAATTTTCAGATTTTTAAGAAATTAAAAAAGAAAAATCCACATCAAGAAAAAATAAATTTCTGGAAAATTTCAGAATTTTAAGGAAATGTAAAAATTAAAAAAAAATAAAATTTAAAAACAAATTGTAAAATTTCAGATTTTTAAGAAATGTCGTTAAAATTAAAAACAGATAATTCGACAATTTAAAAAAAAATCAAAAAAAAATATTTTTAAATTTTCAGATTTTTAAGAAACTAAAAAAAAGAGATATTTGAAAATTTAAAAAAAAAAGTTAAATAGTATCAGTCGGTTTTGCCGACAGATTTATACACCCGTGATGATTATTCTAACTGTTAACCCTATACGTGGGAGGTTCCAAAACAGTTGGGTAATATTGTCCTAAGTCTAATATAAATATTACAACGTGACATGTTTGGACTATATCGTCTACTTCCTATACTTTATATGATTTATCTCCAAAACTTTGATACAAAATTCAAAATTATAACTCTTGAACATTTAAAAAAAATCCCCGATTATAGCTATTCCAAAATTTACAAAAGAGTCCTCATACTCGAAATATTTTCAACGTTTATAGCTCTCCAAAATGTCGTAAAAAATCTTCAAAAACTTTTTTTAAAAATTCAATTTTATAGTTTTTTGAAAAATGCGAAAAAAAAACAAATAAAAAAGCAGTAAGTTCGGCCGGGCCGAATCTTGAAAACCCGCCATAATTTAGAACGAATTTCAAATTTTTCAAAAAAAAAAAAAAACAAAAATGCGTTAAAAATTCTGTTAAAGTCTTAAAAATCTTAACAATACCGAATATAGTCGTTATATTCGGTCTTCTATACGACGATGTGGACCTGCATAAGCAACATTCATCATAAGGCATTAGAATATTCAAATACGAAACTTGAAAAAAAAATCCGGTGAATAATGTAGCTAAAATCATAAAAATGCCGAATAGCCCTGGACCTGCAAACAGGCTGTAGTACCTATTAGGAACTTCAAATACGAAATTTGAAACAACTCCGGTGAATAATTTCCTTAAAATCATCAAAATATCGAATATCGGGAGGTACCGTTATATAGGGGATATACGAAGGCGTGGGCCTACGTGTGAAATTTTTAGGCATAGACTCTAGATTCCATTACGAACTCTAAATTCGTAATTTTGAAAAAAAACACCGGTGAATAATGTCCCTAAAATCATCAAAATATAGAATATCTGGAGGTACCGTTATATAGGGGCTGCACAAAGACGTGGACCTGCATACGAAAATTTTCAGGTATTAGCTGTAGTACCCATAACCAACTTCAAATACGAATTTTGAAACAATTCGGGTGAATGATGTCGCTAAAATCATCAAAATACCGAATAAAGGGAGGTACTGTTATATGGGGGCTATGCGATATTGTGGATCTATATAAACAATTCTCTTCCAGGAGCTAAAGTACTCAGAAGGAACTTCTAGTATGGATTTTTAGACAATTCCATTGAAAAATGTGGCTAAAACCACCAAAATACGGAATATCGGGAGGTACCGACATTTGGGCCTATACGATATTGTGGACAATACTCTTCCAGGGGGTAAAGTACTCAGAAGGAACTCATTTTGTGGATTTTCAGACAATTTCATTTAAAATTTGTCTAGAATCATAAAATACCGAATTAGGGGGGAGAGGGTACCGTTATATGGGGGCTATACGATATCCTGTACTGATGTAGCCCATTAACCAAGACAAAATAGCCCTGCCTTCAGACAAAAGACTGATCTGAGCAAAATGTTAGCTTCCTATCTTTATTCGTTTTGACGCTAGCGTGATTACAACATACGGACGGATGGAGGGACGGATAGGGCTAAATCGTCTTAGAATTTTTCGCTGATCAAGAATATATATACCTTGTTATGTCTGAAATTATTATTTCGATGAGTTACAAACGGAATGATGAACTTAATATACCCTCCATACTATGTGTGGCGGAGGGTATAGAAATTCCCCATTATTAAATTAGATTAAATATCCAATTTATGGCTCTTTTTTCTTTAGTTGAAAGAAATAGTTTTTTGAAATCGATAGTATAACTCTTCAAATTCTCTCGATTTTCTCTAAGAAAAATATTCTCAAAATTTTCAAAAATAAAGTTCTGGATTTTCCTCAAACAACATTCTAAAATCAAGTCATTTATTGAGAAAAAAAAAAATGCATAAAATAAACATATACCCCATAGCAGCTTTCAAACCCTTGAATGATTTTTTAAATGCGAAAAAACAAAAACAACAGCAAAAACAAACCCCTTTTCAAAACCGGCTCAATTACAATGTGATGAAATGTGAGAAATGTGTAGTGCGCTTGGCATTTGGAAAACCACAAACAATTATAAACAAAAAAAACGAGTAAATAATTAATGACAACAATTAACTAGGGATTGATGCACTGAGTGTTAAATGCTCTAAACCAAAAAACAAAAACAACAACAAACAATGTCGATAAATAACCTTAAAGTTTTATTTACATAAATGGCAAATGACACCCACCCCACCCAATTTATTTTCGAAAAAATGAAAAATAAAAAAATTGTAATAAATGATGTATTAAAATATATGTTTTTTTTATTTAACTGACAATTCTCAAAAATCTGAACTTTTGCAAAAAAAATATTTTTTTTTGTTTAATTTTAAAATCATTTTTTTTTTTTAATTTTAACGACATTTCTTAAAAATATTAAAATTTGCACAAAAAATTTGTTTATTTTTTTTTTTAAATCTAATATTCTTTTTTTAATTTTTAAATTTTCCAAACATTTTATTTTATTTTTTTTTTTAATTTTAAAATTCTTTTTTTTTAATTTTACGACATTTCTTAAAAATCATAAACTTTGCAAATAATTTATTTTTTATATTACCTAGTTTTTAGTTTTAAAATTTTCTTTTTTAATTTTATCGACATTTTCTAAAAATCTGAAATTTTGTAAATTTTTTTTTTTAATTATAAAATCCCCTTTTTTAATTTTAACCAGGGCACTCTTGCCATGCATTACAGAGTGTACCGCCATAGTTACAATTCATAGAATTCATCGGAGAGGAAATTGTGGTCATGGGGCCTCCATTGGGAGGAGAACTTTCAGAGGTATTCTGTGCGGTGAAGAATACCAAAGAATTGAAATGGGAAGCCTTTCCTCTAAATAGCTTTCAAATAATCAACTATAAATAAATCAATGTTTGGTCTGATGGCTTATCTTATTGAAATGGCGCCCAACGTGAGTGAATATACTTCGCCATTTTTCCAAGAGGTAATTATACCCTCAGCTATATGACTGAAGGTCCTTAGTCGAAATAAGACCCTAGGTCTCTTTGGACCACATCCGAAACTTGGTGCATCGTAATATTATTATCAAACTTAGATTGCGTTCAGAGATGGGCAAAATCGGTCCACTCCTCCTGGTACCTCCCCCACAAAAGGTCGACATTTTCAAAGAAAATATTTTTCCGCACTGAACGAGAAAGGATAATCCGATTTTGCTCCAACTCTGAGAATCTTAATATTTGCATCGGTGCTAGGTCAGGTGCGGTCCACTCAATCAAGTACCTTCCTCACAAAGGGTCAAAATGTTGAATAATTATAACTCTTATAAAATGTGATTTAAGTGTCCGATTGTCTTCAAATTTCACACATCCCAATAATTTTAATTACCCAAGGTTTGGTGCCAAGGTGGCCGAAACTTGGTGCATCGTAATATTATTATCAAACTTAGATCGCGTTCAGAGATGGGCAAAATCGGTCCACACCTTCTGGTACCTCTCCCAAAAAAAATCGAAATTTTCAAAAAAAAAAAAAAAAAATTCTGCACAGAAAGAGAAGCAATAATCCAATTTTGGTCCAACTTTGCAAATCCTGATATTTACATCAGTTCTAGGTCAGATGCGAAAATGGACAATATCGGTCCACTCCATCAAGTACCTCCCCCACAACGGGTCAAAATTTAGAATAATTATAACTCTTATAAAATGTGAAAAAAGGCTCTGATTGTCTTCAAATGACACACATCACAATATTTTCATTAACCCAAGGTCTGGTGTAAAAATGGTATATATCGGTCCACTATTCTGGTACCTCCGCCACAATAGCTCAACATTTTGAATATCTATAAAGCTCATATGACGCGAAATTAACATCCGGTTCCATTCAGACTTGGTACATCTTAATATTTCGATCAACACAAGATCTGCTATGAAGATGGTAGAGATCGGACCATTCCTTCTGGTATCTCTCCCACAAAGGGTCAAAGTTTTAAATAACCAAAACGATTATAAAATCCGAAATACGCATCCGGTTCTCTTCATATGCCACACAGCCCATTATTTTAATTTATACAAGATTTGATTTGGAGATGGAATATATCGGTCCACATCCTCTGGTACCTACCCCAAAAAGGGTCAAAATTTTAAATAGCGATAGCTAAAAAGCACATAAAACCCGAAATTAACATCCGATTCCATTCAGACAAGGTCTTATTATTTCATCTTATTATTTCATCCACACAAGATCTGCTATAAAGATGGTAGAGATTGGACCATTCCTTTCGGTACCTCCCCCACAAAGGGTAAAAATTTTGAATATCCATTAAGCTCAAAGAAAGCGAAATAGGCATCCAACTCTCTTCAAATTTCAGACACAACACAACAAGATCTGTATGAAGATGATATATATCCGCGAGCCCCTTGTGGTACCTCACCCACCAAGCGTCACCATTTTCAATACTTTTATCTGTCATAACTTGCGAAACAAGTCAGCGATTTTTTTTTTAAAAATATCTGATATCTCATAGAAAGCCAATATAGTACAAATCTGGCACGTCGCAATATTTATATTATATATATTTAGCTCCGATACGAAATCGATAATATTGGTCCATTCCATCGGAACCTACTCCATAAAGGGTGAACAATTTGAATAATCATAACAGAAGTTAAAATATATTTAAATAATCGAAAATGGGCTGAGGGTATAAGAACCTGAAAAAATATTTTTCAAAAATCTCACATCTATAACCGCGATAGCCTTAAAAAGTTTTGTTACAAAAAATCCGTGCATAGTTTTCCTCTGAAATGATAAAAAGATTAAAAAATTTTCCAATTTGAATTTTTTCATACATTTGTTAAAAGTGATTTCCGAATTTCGAAAAAAAGAGAAATAAAATTGTGATTCCTAAATTAGACTCAATAACCTTCTAGTAGGTAAGCCGTTGAAAATGAAGTTTATTAATTGGAATTTTTTTTATTCTCCTTTTGTTGGATATATTTACAGCCCTGGCTGCTGGTTCCTGTCCCCAGGCTAATGGCACCTATCCCGTGTCTGGATCCTGTGATGCCTATATTGAGTGTAAAAATGGTGTGGCCGAAGAGAAATTGTGTCCCGATGGTCTATTGTTTAATGAAAAATCCACCGGCTATCCCTGTGGCTATCCCATCGATGTGGAGTGTGATCAACCCCAGGCTAGGACCCAACCGCCACAGGCCACCGAAGATTGTCCACGCCAATTTGGCTACTATCGCATGGGTGATTCAAAGAATTGTGGTCAATTTAAGAACTGTGCTTCGGGACGTGGTTACATTTTCGATTGTCCCGATGGTTTGGCTTGGAATCCTGCCACCTATAGATGTGACTGGCCCGATGTAGTTGAAGACTGTGATGCTGAGGCTTTCTTGGGTTTCAAGTGTCCCCCCTTGCCGGCCAGATCTCCCCTGCTGGGTGAACCCGAGGAGGAATACACCTTCTATCCATCGCCCAACAATTGCCAACAATATTTCCTGTGCATCGAAGGACGTCCCAGACGTATCTCCTGTGGTGAAGACCAGGCCTTCAATGAAGAGCTGAAACAGTGTGATGATATTGAAAATGTACCCAGCTGCAGTCCTGAAATCAAGCAGAGAGGAATTGAAATTAAGAATGCCCGTTTGTCAGCCGCTGCTGCCAGAAAGGCCGGCCATAAATAAAGACCACAATGAGGAGGCGATTGTTAAGTTTTTTTAATTTTGCCTATTTCCGATAGAATTTTTTTCTAGTCCATAGTTGAAATAACGAATATTTTTTTCTTACACAAATATATATATGTTTTTTATAAATGTTAATTGGTTATTGTACCGATACAAGACGAATTCTAATAAACTAATTTGACCATAACGAGTTTGTGTCTTATGTCATTTGTTTTTATTTAAAGCAATGCCTTTAATAGATCAAGAGGTATGTTAAAAAACTATTTTAAATATGTTTAATTTTTCTTTAAATATATATATTTTTAACGTTTCTAAAAAATTAAGTTTTTTTTTTAAAAAAATTAAAATCCATTTTTTTTTTTTCGAAAAATTTTACTATTTTTAATTTATAAATGTAAAAAAAATGAAGAAACTCTTTTTTAAAAAATCACATTTTTTCTAAAAATAATAAATAAATATTAATAATAAAAATCTAAGATTTTATATAAAACAATCAACATTTTGGAAAAAAAATTTCGATTTTTTCAACATATTTCAAAATTTTTAAATAATAAATTTCAAAAAAAAAAAGAAAAATTCACAATTTTTGGAAATCCATTTTTTAAAAATGTACTGTTTTTCAAAAATAAAATACTATTTTTCAAAAATAAAATCTACGATTATAAGTTTTTTATAGAAATATATATTTTTTCGTATTTGTAAAATATTAAGATTTTTTTGAAGAAACAACATAATGAAAAAATAATTTTTCAATAATTTCAAAAAAATTTTTCAATTTATAAATTATAAAAACATAATTTTTGGAAAACTATTTTAAAGTAAATCACTTTTTGCTTTAAAGTAAAATCTACAATTTTTTAGAAAGAATTAACATTTTGGAAAAAAAGAATTTTTCAATTTTTTAAAACTACACAATTTTTAATTTGTAAATTTAAAAAAAAAAAACAACTTTTGGAAAACTTTTTTTTTATAAAAATTCACATTTTTTCATAAATAAAATACTAAAAATTTACGATTACATTTTTTTTTTAAAAATATACATTTTTTTATTTCTAAAAAATTTTAAATTTTACAATTTTTAATTGATAAAATTTAAAAAAAACACCATTTTCGGATTCAAAAATAAAATACTAAAAATCTACGATTATAATTTTTTTTATAAAAATATGCATATTTTTATATTTCTAAAAAATTAACAATTTTAAATAATAAAATTAAAAACACACAATTTTTGGTTTTTTTTTCAATGCACATTTTTTCAAAAATAAAACATAAAAAGTCTACATAAAAGTTATACAAAACAGCATTTAAAAAAAAATAATTTTTCGATTTTTTCAAAAAAGTTCGCAATTTTTTAAAACAATTTTAATTTATAAATTAAAAAAAAAAATAAAAAAAACACATCCACAACTCTTGGAATTTTTTTTTAATTTTTTTCAAAAACAAAATATTAAAAATCTATTATTTTTTATAAAAGAATCAACATTTTTGAAACAAGAATTATTTTTTCTATGTTTTCAAAAAAAGTTCACAATAGTTTAAAACATCACAATGTTTAATTAAAAAATTTCAAAAAAATTTTTTTTTTGAAAACTAAAAACAAAATTCTCTTTTTCCAAAAACATATACAGGATGTGATAAAAAACTACAACAAAGTCAAACGCCATAATTTTTACATTTTTTTAAATTTTATTGAATAAAAGCAAGAAATGTCGGATAAAGCATCAAATTTTAGAATAAGTTTAGATTGGTTCCAATTGGTCACCTTTGGCAAGAATTATGGCCTTCAAACGGCCAATGAAACAATCACACGCTACCCGATTGTTGCTCTGCGGTATTTTGGCCCATTCCCGGCCAGAGCTTGCTTGAGGTGATCGACACTTGGGAATTTTTTAGTGCCAACCTTACTGTCCAAAATACTCCAGACACAATAGTCCAACGGATTGATATCCGGAGATTTAGGCGGCCATTGTGCGCTGGAAATGAAGCAAGGAACCTAATTTTGTAACCATTCTTGGGTCTCGCAAAAATGTTTGCGTGCCCAAGGCTTAATACACCCTCCAGAATATTTTCGCGATAATATTTGGTATTTATTCTGAGGCTACGGTCGATTAATTCGAACGGAGAGCGACCATCGGCTGTTATGGTGGCCCACGCCATCACCATGGCCGACGCTTGAGTTCTGTTCTGGTTGTGCACATTTTCAACTGACCTCTTTGACAAGTAAACTTGATCATCATTCATTTTGTTTGTTCACAAACTTCTGGGCAACGATAACATAATATAATGAGCTGTCACTGGAATAATTTTAACAACTGTCGGACGAGTGGCTTAGAAATGACAGCAGTCTGAAGATGGTTGCAGTTTTTTCATCTCACCCTGTATACCCTCTCTAGACATATAGCTGAGGGTATGACAAGCACACAATTTTTGAAAAACTATTTTTTTTTTAAATTCCATCTTTTATTTTCAAAACTAAAATATTTTTAAACAAAATTTAAAATAAACATAAAATAAATAAAACTTTAGTATTTAAAATACCAAAATTGAAAAAAATTAAAAAAATAAAATTTTTAAATCTATGTTAAAAAAATGCAATTAAAATTCGACAATAGTTTTAAAAAAAAAAATAAATAAATAAATAATAATTACTATTATTACAGCATAAAAAGTTTGTATCTTAAGTCTTTTGTTTCCTCCCCCTTTCAGAAAATCCAAGCATTAACGATTTGTGTTTTAAATCTTTTGTTTTAAAAATAAAGTTTGTGTCTTAAGTCTTTTGTTTTTAACTAGACATCATTAAATCTCATTTTTACTCAAATTTATTTCCTTTTTTTCGAAATTCTTCCAGCTTTTGCCGACTCCCAATGTCCCGAACCCAAAGGTCGTTTCCCTCATCCGGAACAATGTGATGCTTACTACGAATGTGTGGACGGTGTTGCCGAGGAAAAACTTTGCCCCGATGGTTTGGTGTTTAATCCACGTGCCAAGGCGGCAGGTGAATGTACCTATTCTCCCTTCTCCACGTGCAAGGAACGTACCCGTCTGCAACCGGCCAATGGCACTGAACAATGTCCCCGTCAATTTGGTTTCTATCCCCTGGGTGATCCCACCAAGTGTGGTGTCTATCACAATTGTGCCCATGGTGAGGCCACACTTACCAAGTGCCCAGAAGGTTTGGCCTTCAATGTCGACAGCTATCAATGCGATTGGCCCGATCTAGTTAAGGACTGTAATGCTGAGGCCTTTTTGGGTTTCACCTGTCCCCCACCCGAGGAGGATGATGCCAATGTCAAGGTGGATGTAACCCCTGAGGGAGAATTGCGCTACTATCCCCATCCCAACACGTGCAAGAAATATTTCGTCTGTGTCAATGGTCATCCTCGTTTGTATAACTGCGGTCGCTATTTGGCCTTCAATCCAGAGACAAAGTTGTGCGACTTCTATCGTAACATTCCCGATTGTTATGCCCGCTTGAAGGACAAGAAGGAGAGGAGAGCTTAAGTCGATGCTAGTCATTTGAAGAGCGTTTTTGTGCGATGTTGTCAAAATGGGAATTTGTAGGAATTTTGACTTTGGCAATTTGGCGTCTTTTCTGTTATAAACAATTTTGTATGTTAATAAATATTTTAGATATTTTAATAAAGAAAAAAAAAATAATTAAATAAAATATACCAGAACATAAAACCTAAATATAATTTTCCTAAAAAATGATTAAAAGTACTAAGGATATTTATTTTTTTAAATCCAGGATTATTGTTTTGGTAGGGTTTAAAAAATATTTAAAAAAAATAAGACTTAGGTGCAATTTTTTGATTTTTTCCAAATGCAGGATTATCCACATTAATGGCTACAAAGATGTTAATGCAGGATTATTGTTTTGGAATCGTTTAAAAAATATTTTCAAAAAAAAAAAAAAATATTAAAAATGTTCCTAGAAGATTAGTTTAGGTTTCAGAATGCGCAGCTATTCTACAATCGGCATTTGCTTCCCTTGGAGACCATTTTCACCTGGGAGACCATTGTGTTCGCCTCAAGAATTAAGAAAGATACTAATTGAAAAAAATTAAAGCGAGTTTTGCTGGATGCCCGTCAACATAACGACTGCAGTAATTAGCTGTTCTTCGATACGCCTTTTTGTCTCTCGCCTCTATGGACTTGGCACTTTTGACGATCGGAGAATTCAGCAACACATCCATATTTCCAGTGGCGGTGCCGCTCTGTTCTCCTTCTGCCTCAAGCGCCTCTTTTCTAGAGAGCAAGGGCTTATCGGCCTTGGGCGATGCTGTAGAGATGACACCACCAGCAATTTTCAGTTCAGCAGACCCAAGTTCATATCGGGGCGACCCTCCTTTCCCAAGGGCGTATCTCAGTAATCAATAGGAATGATCAACGGATTTTGAAGGGACTGATGTCAACTATGGCATGAGGGGGTCCTCTTTATGTGGAGACCACCGGTGTTATTTAGGGGGACCTCAAACATCTCCTCGTGAGTCTAATGATCTTTGGATCTTTACCTAATATATCTACTGGGTTTCCACTATCCGCAACCTGTGGATGCGGTCTCCCAAAAAATAATCGGAATGCCCTAGATTGAGGTCCCACATGGCATGGCGACCGCACCCTGAAATGCCCAGGTATCGACGAAGCTCCGTATCCTGACTGCAAACCTAAAATACTGATAGTCACGAGGTCGCATAACACCCCAGCATAAGGGGTATCCTGCACAGAGCTTTGACTATTATTGGGGGCCTCCGAAACATCAACTCGTTAGACTAAGGATAATTGATACTCGGGTATTTAGGGCGAAACTGTCGGCGACTGCTAATTCAATTCGCAGCTACCCAGTAGATCTTCTGGACTTTCCATTACCCGCAACCTGTGTATGCGTCCGATAGCAATCACCTATGCTGCCCAAAGGCTAAACATTTATTAAAGTAAAGCATAAAATATGAGTTAAGAGCCACGGATGACCATTAAAAATTATCGGTATTAGCCGATGATGTAGTGGTGGCACCATCAGAGATTTTTAGGTCAGCAGACCCGGGGGGTTAACTCTTGACTAGAGATCCTCCTCTGCCATGGTGGTCTCCCAGAAATCAATAGGAATGCTCATCAGATTTTGAAGGAACTGAAGTCGGTCATGGCATAGCTTCCGTACCATGTAGGGACCAGCACAGAGGTTTA